CTCAACAATCTGTGATCTGCAACTGCTGTATCAGTTCGTGTGGTGCCACCCCCTCCCTCCGCCATGCTTTGACCAAAGACTGTCAAGTATCTTCTACCGCTGTCTTCTTGTCTCTCTATCCACAGATCTTTCCAGTGGTCACAATATGTTTTATTTTCCCTGTATTCATAACATAACCAAAAAAATTATGACTGTCACTTTCTGATATTTGTGATAGATGCCTTCGAGCATTCGTCTGTTTCAAAACATCTGGGTTGCTCTTCTCAGCTTTTCAAGGAATTCTAAGGATTCTCCTGTAAAACCACATCTCCGCGCCGTCAAGATATTGTACGGCTTGTTTATTAATTGTCCAGGCTTCACAGCCGTACGTTAAAACTCGCTCTATAAAGAATGTGAGAATTATTTTCTAACCTCCAATGACATGGATTTATTTAATAAAATGTTCTTCATTTTGTAAAATACTGTTTTGGCCTGTCCTATTCTATTCTTAATCTCTGTGACACATCATGTACAACAATATATTTTAAAATAATAATAAACAACACAGTGGGCAACACTGACCATTTGGCTTCAGGATTTGAGGTTCGCGAAGGAGGACTGCGGCTTAGAAAGTTACCTAAATTCACAACTAGAAACATATTTACCTTAAACGAACAAGTTCCATCTTCGCCAGATATAGATTCCAAGTACTTGTGAGGAAGGACTTTAGCTGGCAGTCGCCTGGGTCGTTTTACTGACCAGTAGTAAACTGCAAGCTGTAGCAAGGCGAAGATGGCGAACCATTGCAACACACGTCTTAGGGATAGCCTCATTATTCTGCAATAATAACGTTTTCAGTTATTCGGTTATCAAATGTCTCAACGTTGTAAAGCAAGGATATATATATATATATATATATATATATATATATATATATATATATATATATATATATTCATTCATTCAGTAGCATGTCCCTCGCGGAACCTCGCTGCCATAACAACCCTCCGGAAAACCTTCCTATCATGAGCAAGATGTCCTGCGTCTGATACACCCATCTGGAGATCATCTGCCACATCCTGCACCCATCTTCTCCTTGGCCTTCCTCTTCCTCTCTTCCCAGGCATATACCCCTCCATTATTGTTCTCTCTAGACTTCCATGACGTTTCAAGTGACCAAAATATTTCAATTTTCTTATATATATATATATATATATATATATATATATATATATATATATATATATATATATATATATATATATATAGTTGAAAAAAAAAGTAAAGATCCCTTTTCCCACCTTTAGACGCATCAGGCATATGGAAAGAGCACCGATATTTGTACAGACCAATCGGCACTAGATGGGTATTTGTGGTCAGTAATACGCCGCCCTTTTTTATTTCCCAATGACATATATCCTGGTACCCATTTTAGGCTAGGTCGACCTGCGACGCTCCATACAACGATAAAAATCCATGCAGCCAGCAGTACGTTAGATTTACGAGTCGGACACGCAACGCCGAATATATATGTGTGTGTGTGTGTGTGTGTGTGTGTGTGTGTGTTTTATATATATATATATATATATATATATATATGTATATATGTATGTATATATATATATATATATATATATATATATATATATATATATATATATATATATATATATATATATATACTAGCTGTACCCGGCCACGCGTTGCTGTGGCATAGTTTAACTAAATGGGAAAGAAAGAAAATATAAATCGCACGTGTCTAATATGGTTATTGTCGCAATCATTGTCTGCTCAGATATAGAGATAGTCTTTGATCCCCCCTCCCCTTTTCTACCACCACTAAATCCACCTACTACTCTCTCCCTCATTAAAAGGTTTTTGGAAACAAAAAGACAATAGAGTTAATATATAATAATATGTCTAATATAGTTAATGTCGCTATCATTCTCTGCACAGATATAGAGATAGTCTGGTTTTCCAACTCTAGATTACGAACCATATAATTGTGTCTTCTTATTAGTAGACTTTTTTTTAACAGATATCAGCGTAAGAGATCCAGAGATCGACCACGCAGAAGATGGACCGCTAAAATATCAAAGACACTGAAAAGTACTTTATACGAAGCGAACAGAAAGGCTGGTTCCAGAGATCTCTTTCTGCCCTGACGCCGCGAGTCTATATATATATATAGACGGAGATGGAGAGATTCATTATACACATCACTAATGGCAAATTACAGATACGTAAAAGACCTCAATCTGGGGCTTAGGCGTTGCGCACGCGTCTCGTAATTCCGCGGTACAACGTTCGATTCTAACTGCGGACGATTTAGGAGCAGACCACCTTGCTTTGATTTTAACGTGGGTATCGACAGCTGACCGTTGAGTAGCAATGGCGAACTCATCATCATGATGTGCCCTGCCAACTGGCGTCGGCACTCATGCGTCTCCACAGATCACGATTCCTGGTTGCCTGGAAGAGCTCTCTTGATGATATCCCTCCATGCCATAGTTTTAGCCCATCCAGCATCATCTCTCTTGGTCACCTCTACTCTCTTTTCCACTGATCTTTCCAGCTGTCACGATGTTCGAAAATTTCTC